TTTTAGCCTTTTAAGCGCAACGAAAAATGGCAACAAATACAAACATGGCGATAATGTGCAATGCGCGCAGTCGATCAATAAAAACAACGAAGAGCAGCATAGAGAGGGAAGCTTGGCAGAGGCAAAACAAAAACAAAGCCAAATGCAATTAGCTTAAAGTGAGAGGCAGGGAGGCAGACGGAGAGCGAGCGTACGATTCATTCACGTGTGTAAAAGCGTTGTAAGCGCGCTGCTGATAACAAAGAGCGCGAGTGAGTTAGTGAGCGAGAGAGAGTGAACAAGATAATTCTAACTGTTGATCTGAGACACAGAGAGCGCGCGCTCGGTTGAGAGAGCACGCTCGAGAGAGTTATCATTATTGGCATTTGTTATTGTTTTTTGTTGTTGTCTTCTATAACGTAAATATAGCAATTTGCGCACTATTTTTAAATGTTTTGAAAATTGTTTGATTTTTTCTGTGTGTCGCCGTTTGCTTTGCGCCGTTTCGTTTCTTTTTTTTGCAATTTTTTTTTGGTTTATCTCTGTTTTTACGTTTTGGTTTTTTTTTCAATTTTTTGTTTTTTGTTTTTGCTTCCTCTTGACCGTCGCCTTGTCTCAATTTGTTGTTATTATACATAGTTGTTGCTGTCAATCAATGAAACAAATTAACAAACAACAACGAATAAAAACAAAATGTAAAAATGCAAAGCAAAATGTCGCTAAAGCCATTCAGCACACAATTGGTGTGACAGAGATGGAGCATAGACGGCTTTTATAACAGTTGAATGCCTGTATGTATGTGTGTGTGGAATGTACCTAGGCAAAGCATGAGTCTGTGTGTGTGTGTGTGTGCACGCCCACGCCCTGTGTTATCGTAACGGCAGTTTAAGCGCCCTGGCGCCAACGACAACGACAAAGTTCTTCAATTTCTCAGTAAAAATATTAAGAAAATACCCTACTCAAAGGGAGGAATGTCTGCATATTGCAAGAGCTGGAATGACAGGCAGTTAATGACTGTGAATTACTAAATAGAGGCAATGCAATCAATTGCTATATATCGATATCTTGAACTATTAATATATCGACATACAGATGTAGGTATATTACAACAAATTTAACGATAGATCGACATACATATACCGGTATTTCTATACATCTTTAAGTATTCGCGTATCGATAAGTCTTATATGTTTGTTCGATAAATCTGAATGTATCGCTTTGGGTCTAATGTATCTCGATACTGCCTAATATATGTATGTATCAACATATCGATTAGACTTGATACATTTATATCTAGACCAATCTGAACATATTATCACATTCCAGTATATCGATATTTCATACTGCAAAACTTCATTAGACATAATATATGATGACATGATCTAGATCTTTTGATGTGTACAAATCATACATAATTCTTAGCCGATTTGTTATTAAAGATATAATTATGTATATTATAATATTGAATTGTGGCTCAAAGGCTTAAAGATTAGGCATGAAGCTTCACCAAATGCTTAATCAATTAATCTCCATAAGTGCAGGATATCTGGTAAGTCAAGTACACTCTCTTTAAAATGCAGCTGACTTAGTTGTCTTATGTTATCAAGCGTGCATTGCAAAGGCCTTCCAGCTTCAAGTACACTTGACAAAAACCAGCTAGACTATGTACATACAGACATATGTAGGGTATAATGCTTGGTTCTGTTTGTATGAGTTATAAATAAATATAAATGTTCATACGTATGTATGTCTTTATTATAAGTGCTGACACAGTGGGCATTCAGGTTAAGACACGACATAATCGATGGGCTTTGATAAGAGCCCAAATACCTGAAAGTCGGGCAGTGAAAAGTGCAAATCAGCCTAATCGCAAAAACAAAACCAAAAATTCCAGTAAAAATTGATAAATACAGCAAAGTGACAAATGATTTGTTAGTCGCAACTCTTAGTTAATCATCCAATTGCTAACGGAACTACAAATGTAAAATGTTGTTTTGATGATCGGTCCAATTAGGTATCAACTGGCTGTTCTATGAAACGTTTTTATGGCTATAAAAATAAATCATTTGAAATCATTTTGCACATTTCATGTTTTCCCATAATATAAATTCTACAAAATTGGTTTACGATCGCGCGGCACGAGAATCTCAGATTTTAGTTCCTCTCTGCTCTGCGCCATTCGAGAAAATTGCATTCGACAATTTTTGTTTTCTATTGCTCGATTTTTTGTTTTCATGTGGTTACGAATTTGATTTATTATAGTTTGCCTTAGTTGAGTTTTCATTGGCTCACCCTGTGCGGAAGCCGCTGCAGCGCCCCCTGGCGTCGGCCACGAGTGGCAGTAGCGTTCGCGTTTTTGGCAATGAAAACTCAAACAACAAAACTATCAAAACAAATATGCTGGGAAGGCTATGAATAGAGCATAGCAAGCAATTAGCCAGACGAATATGGAATGCCTTTTCGATTGGCTTCGGTCAATATCGATAAATATCGATTGTAATTAGCGATAATAAACTGAATCCTCATAAGCATGGCATATATTACAGCTATTAGATATGTGAGTTATATTCCGATAAGTATCAATAGGTCACTTATACGATTAAATATCAGTTATGATGGACCACGTTTAAATTAAATTAAATTATCGATATATTTACATTTTTCATCTAAAACCCATCTTATCTTCCCCATCATCATTTATAGGGTACATGCAAACACAAATAACCCGAAGATCAGTGCATATATACATACATTTTTGCTTAATTTACATTTTTTGTATTTTTGTTTCCTTTCATTTTTTTTTTTTTGCTTTTTGTTCGCCTGTTGCTTGCGTCTTTTTAATTTTCCGCGGCGCTTGACGTGCAACAAAATTTGTTTTTATATCAATTTTAATATTCTGAAATATGTACTGTTTTTCCTTCTACTTCGACTCTTCTTCTTGATCTGCTGTTTGCATGTGTGGGCGTGACAACAACAAATGGTCAAGCTATTAGGCAAAGTAAATAAAATTAATTGCAGATTTTGGCGCGTGAAGAAAATGAATGCGAAATTAATGGAGCGTAAAGGCGCCGTCGCCGTTGCCGTCGCATTTCAATTAGCAATTAATTAATTAGCTGCACTCTTGCTAAAAAAAACAAAAAAAAAAAAAAAAACTTTGAATTACAGCTTGAAAATAAAAAGTTAACGCAAGCGTCACAACTAAAAGCTGATTGCTATGTAACGCAACTTCAATTACATTTGCTGCAGTCCGCCCACAAATATTCCGGTACTCGCTTGTGTTCATATGTGTGTGTGTGTGGATGTCATGTGGGCGTTGTCAGCCAGCGCCGGCAACAGCCAAAAACCCAGCGGCAGTAACACCAGCAACAGCAACAACAACAATAACAGCAAACAGCTGTTTGGCGCTTAGCTTGCTCAGCTGCGTTCCGCTGCCGGCGTCAGCGTCAGCTGAGTCGTCACAATCCACACATGCACACGCACACACAAGCACAAGCCATACGCAACTGACAAACAAAGGCTGGCAAGAGGAGTGAGCGAGAGGCAAGACTTTCAGTTGGAGTTTTTTCATTATTTCTTCTTTTTTTGGTTTTTCGCTGTATACATGGAGGTTTTTTCGGAGATGGGGAAGGTGTTGGGTGAGGTTAGGTTTGCGACTCATGTGGATGACTAATAAAACGACAACAAATACAAAAAAAAAAAACGAGCCGAAACAAACAGAAACAACAACAACAGCAACAATAAAGAGCGAACCATAATAAAAACCGGCAAAATAGCTTCAAATGGCAGACAAAGGAATAAACCGGCTTCAACTTTATTTGTATTAAATACGTGTATATAAATGCATGCATATTTAAATCTGTATGTGTGTGAGTAGACAAAGGCAAGCAGTATAAAAGTTTTGAACTGCAGAAGAAAAGAGAACGAATGAGCAGAAGAGCAGCGAATAAAATGGAAATTCGGTAAATTAAACTCCTTTTCTTTAAATAATAATTAAAATTTTTATTAAAAAAAAAAAAAAAAAAAAAAAAACTGAAGATATTTTATAATGCTTTATTTTTAGGCTTTTGTAGATTTGGCATTACCCATAGTTGGAGTATGGGGAAAATTTTAACACATTATACGATAAGGTTATAAATTTAAAGCATATACAAGGCAAATATATAAGGAAAATTTCAAATTCGACTGCCTATGATCACGTATGATCTCAATATCAAATGAAAGCATTTAATATCATTTAAAGGAATATTCTATGCTTAAAAGTGCTTGAGTCGATGACTCATAGACTCATATGTCTATAAAATTTCAGTGCGGACTTCTCCGTTTCTCTTTGCGCTCATTTTCTTAAACGTTTGCCCAACTCTCATTTAAGGCTTCCACGCGAAAACGAAACACAATTATCATGTAAACAAGTTATTTCCATTTAGCCACACAAACATTTCCGACAACGTTTCCGGAAGTATATGAAAAAAGATGATAAATTTCGCGACTGCCAGCTGCTCCCCCTTTGCTCCATCCTTTCATACTGTTTCACTCTCACTCACCCTTGCTCTCTCTCTCTCTCTCTCACACACACATTGAGAAAGTAATAGAAATTTGCAGTTCTCTCTATGTGGGCGTTAGCCTGAACGGCATCCAATAAACGCCTCCATAACAAAAATTCCTAAGTTTTCATTTTATTTTTTTTTTGGCAGGCGAAAAATTGGCTATTAATTATTTATGTCGAAAATTTATGACGTTGTCTGTCTGCTTCTTCTTATTCGTGTTTTTCTCTTTGTTGCTTCTTCATTTTAATTAACTCATGTTCGAGATCTCATTCAGTATTATAATCTAGTCGAACCATTTGTTAATTAGACTGGATGGGAAGCATACCGAAAACCAGAACCAGATTAAAATGTAAATTTCTTGATCTGAAGTTAAGATTAAAGTAGAAATACTTGATCAATGCATGAGGAGGGAGACCTTAAGTCTAGGCATTCTTGCTTTATATCAATATGCAAGCTTTCAAAATTAAAAGATTTAGATTTGAATACTCTGCACTGTTTATTTAACACGTTTTCATATAGCCACAATAAGAGGAATGTAATATTTTGTGCTCTGACTGGGAAAAGTTTTTCCGTTCCTAAGATGAGCAGGGCGTTGTCTTAGGGGGAGCACAGGTTGTTGTTGTGCACGTGGTTGTTGTAGGTGTAGTGCAAGTGGTTGTTTTCGGCGTGGTTGTTGTTGGTGTGGTGCAGGTGGTCGTTGTTGTCCTCGGTGTAGTTGTCGTAGTTGTTTTTGTTGTGGTTGTTGTTGGTGTGGTGCAAGTGGTTGTTGTTGTTGTGGTTGTTTTGGGCGTAGTTGTTGTCGTTGTTTTTGTTGTAGTTGTTGTTGTTGTTGTGGTGCAAGTGGTTGTTGTCGTTGTCGTTGTTTTTGTTGTGGTTGTCGTTGTTGTGGTGCAGGTAGTCGTTGTTGTTGTGGTTGTTTTGGGCGTAGTTGTTGTCGTTGTTTTTGTTGTAGTTGTTGTTGTTGTGGTGCAAGTGGTTGTTGTTGTTGTGGTTGTTTTGGGCGTAGTTGTTGTCGTTGTTGTTGTTGTGGTGCAAGTGGTTGTTGTCGTTGTCGTTGTTTTTGTTGTGGTTGTTGTTGGTGTGGTGCAAGTGGTTGTTGTTGTTGTGGTTGTTTTGGGCGTAGTTGTTGTCGTTGTTTTTGTTGTAGTTGTTGGTGTGGTGCAAGTGGTTGTTGTCGTTGTCGTTGTTTTTGTTGTGGTTGTTGTTGGTGTGGTGCAAGTGGTTGTTGTTGTTGTGGTTGTTTTGGGCGTAGTTGTTGTCGTTGTTTTTGTTGTAGTTGTTGGTGTGGTGCAAGTGGTTGTTTTGGGTGTAGTCGTTGTTTTTGTTGTGGTTGTTGTTGGTGTGGTGCAGGTGGTCGTTGTTGTTGTGGTTGTTTTGGGTGTAGTTGTTGTAGTTGTTTTTGTTGTGGTTGTTGTTGGTGTGGTGCAGGTGGTCGTTGTTGTTGTGGTTGTTTTGGGTGTAGTTGTTGTAGTTGTTTTTGTTGTGGTTGTAGTTGTTTTTGTTGTGGTTGTTGTTGGAGTGGTGCAAGTGGTTGTTTTTGTTGTGGTTGTCTTGGGCGTTGTTGTTGTAGTTGTTTTTGTTGTGGTTGTTGTCAGTGTTGCTGGTGGTGCACAGGTGGTGGTTGTAGTTTCAGCACAAGTAGGAGTTGTAGTCTCAACACAAGGAGGAGTTGTCGTTTCACACGGCTCTGCTGCTACCACATTGCCAGCGATAGGTTTCAAGTCGCTCAACTGTTTTACCTCGATGCAACCGGTGTTGTAGTTAACACAACGCTGTACATTGGGATCATAGAAGCGTTCACATGTTTTTTGCACAGCAACACCAGCCAAGCATTCGAAGTACTGCGAGCAACTATCAGGTTGAAGAGTACGGAATCCATTCGGCTTATTCACACAGACAACGCGACGATAAAGGTCGTTGCTAGCCGCTGATTGTATGGAGGCTGCTTCAATGGAGACAGCCAGGAGGGCAAGGCAAGCCAAAAGGACTGCAAAAGTTTTAGAGATAACAATGAAGGGCCTTTGCGAAAGGTATGTCACACTATAACTACCGTATTGTGCTCTCATCTTGACTGGACTTGGAATTCAGACTAATGATGACCGAAAATGTGGCACAAGCTCTTTTTATAGTGGTGACTCTATCCTGTTTGGCTCTTATCGAAGATTCTATTGATTGAGATAGTGTTTTTCATTGTCAGTAGGAGAGATGCTGCGCGGTATTTTGCTTTGATCCTGTTGATGTCGACCATATCTTATCATGAGACATCTTAAGTTTCCTCTCTTTCAATTTTTAATTATATAAATTAGTATAGTTGCACGAAATTTCAATACCCATGGCGAACATTTTGAATTAAGCTGATAACTTTTCGTGAATGAAGAGAAATTTTGCTATATTTCCACACATATATATGTATAAGTATGTATATTTCTTTCCTTACATTTTCGCTCAATTGTAGTATGCAAATTGCTGATTTTTTTCTTTATAGAGCGGACATCGACCTCCGGAAATGCTCGCAAATCCAATAAGGCACAAGCGAAATGTGCGTCAGTAAAAATAAAAAGAAATGTTCGAATTGATAATGGGTTTGGGGCAATCAATAGCTTGTTTAACTGCAACTCACACGAATGCCCACTTAAGTTCGCATAAAAGTCAAATATTCTCTTCGGCCTGGCCCTATCCTCAGTGGGGCAGAGTGGAAGAGAACGATTCCTTTGCTTCCTCTGCTAGGCAAATATGCTTAATGAATTAACAAACAGTGGACGACGTGAGGGCGTAATTAGGTGCGAAAATACAATGCATTATGGAAAACCTTTCCCATTCTCTGCTCCTCTTGCCTTTGCCCATCACCTCCAGCTCCAATTTGGGCCATGCAAAGCGAAGCGACGCGATAACCAGAGTGCATTTTGTCACGCAAATTTTGCACCACCCGCTCGCCCCGCGTTCTGTGAACAGAAACTGATACTACGTAGATATAAATATTTACGAGGGCAGTCTCAAGAATGTCCTACTTAATGTATTACAAATATATATATATTTTTTTTCTCAGCCTACCCTCCATATATATAATTATATTCCTCGACGTCATGAAGCAATCGCAGTTACGCTTATTAACTTTGCACACTTGTGCATTTTTTTTTTCGCCAACGCCCACAAATGAACGCTAATGAGCGAATATAATTCCGCTTAAAAACTAAAGCAACTTTATTACTTGAGTAGTTATAATTTAATAATGAACTAGCTCGAATTAGTTTTGAGCAACAAAAACGTTTAAATATCATATTTCTATTTTGAATATAGGACAGAAATATTAAAGATTTTTAGTTTGGCCTAGGCTCACAACTTCTGGCAAGTTGTAAGAGGAATCAGTTCAAAGAAACTAATTCAATTTGCATACAAATAACAAATTGAAATACGAGTCAGTTCTTTTTGTTCAAATTTGAGTTTCAAAGTTTTCAAGCTCAAAATGAAGTAGATATATAAGTTCAAAAATTCATCAATCATTAATCCAGTTCAGTTCAATTGAACTTATTGCCAGCTCTAGCAGCAACTGCATCAAATTGAACAAGATGTAGATTGTAGCTTGCTCTGCCTCAGGTTAAATCTGCGCTTAAATCTACGTTTAAGCCTACGCGAAAATTGTATGGCAGACAACGCCCCCGCACTCGCACGCCCACACAGACACACACTCACACGCCCACTTAGCCCCTTTGGCAGAGGCGCTAATGAAAGAAAGGCGTTACCCATTGCTCCTGCTCCCTACTTCTCCTCTCCTTCTCCTCCTCGTTTACCATCTCCCCGTTTTCTTTTTACAACTTTCACGTTCAGTTAGCTTTTGCTTTTCGGTTTTCACTCAGTTTTTAGCGCTTGTAGCGCCATTTGACATTTTCCCGTTTTCCCATTTCACATTTGGCCGTCTGCTGCAATTTTATTGATTTTCATTTGCACTCCACGACGACTGCAATTTGCGTTTTCAAACCCAAAATGCAAATCCATAATCAAGTTTTTCCCCCCATCCCTCTATTTAAGTTGTTTATTTTTCCATTTTCAGTCACATCCGATGATAAGTTTTTCGCTGTCAAGGTCGTTCGTTATACCAGCGAGCCCCGTATCCGGCTAAACAGGGTAAACAACACAAGTCACAACTTCTCGGCTGCCCTTTAAACCCTTTCAGCTGCTACTCAGATACCTAAAGATAATTTGTTTACTCACTGGAATTTGACTTGGAATATTTATGGAAGAAAACGTCGGAAAATTCATTTATTTGTTTTCAAAAACCTTAAACTTTGCAAAGAAATTAAATTTATACTCATTATTACAGACTCATGATAAAGAAAATACCGTCGATATTTATCGATAACAGTAACTTTCAGGAAATTAAAATCTATTAGCTCTCATTTTACTAGGCAAAAAAAAGTACCATTCCCAGCATTAAAGATTTCGATCAATAACCAAATCGATATATATCCATTTAACTTAAATATTAATTCACTTTAATTTAAAAATAAAAAAATAAAAATATTTTTATTATATATCGAATATATTGCTTACAAAAATAATTTAAGTCAAGTCAACGAACAGTGAAGGGAGTAGAAAATTTTGGTGGTAGCTGGCTCGTATCATGCCACAAGTAGTTCCGTTTGTTGGTTCGATTTTTCTCGGCGTTTGTTTACTGTCTATTTAAGCTCAGGGGTTTTTTTTTGTGCCTTCCTCAAAAAGTTGTCGTCTAAATAATAACAAATTAAGTTTGACATGCATAAAGGAAAAAGTTTTCCTTTATAAAAATCGTGCCACATATACATATGAAATATGTTATTAAATATAATGTATATAGATAATATAATTGAGTTTGTTTGACATGGGCTAAAATTATAACAAGCTAATATGCTAGCGTATTACTTTTTATGGAATTGAATATGCAGTACGCCCTACCTCATGGGAGGTCGATTTGTTGCCGCATTCAATTTCCATAATAGCACACTCAAGGTTATGGTCAAGTAGAAAATTCAATCTAACCAAATGCCCACTTCCCTTTCCTTCCTATTTACTCTAAAAACAGCAGCGCCTGTCTACCGGAAATGACAAAAGCCCAAACGACTTGACGAAAGGAAATGGCTACCAGATTAGCATACGGTGTGGACAATATGAGTATATTGGTTGGTAGGAAGAAATAAAGGAAAAAGTAACAAGAAAAGTAGATAAATTGAGGGTTTTGAAGAGGTAGGAAAAGGTAAGAGCAAATGGATAAGAACGAAATGAGGAATATTTTCTGTATATGGGAACAAAGTTATATTTGAAGGTTAAAATATTAGATTACTCAAAAAAAGTAATCCAAATATATCAACAAACTTTGCGAAATTCAATAACAATCAGAAAATATCGTTATCCATCAAGGAAACGCAGTTTCAGCTATAATTTCATTGGGATATTATTGATAAGTGACACACTGTGGCGATATTAGATACAATTGAATACGAGTTCGAGCGAGCGAGATAGGGATAGACTGTGGCAACTAGGGAGCAACCATTTTGGGTACATCTTATGCCGTTCGTCTGGCATTAAATTTATGAGCTAAAATAAATGAATACATATGTATTCCTTTCATTTTGTTTTGTGTTGTTACTTGTTTTTGTTGTATTTTTGTTTTGTTGTGTTTTTCGTTGTTTTCCTTATTGTTGGGATTCTTTTGTGCTATACGTTTTATTTCAATCATGTGCTCGCTTCGGCCGTCCAACTGTCCTCGTCGCCAATCGTCCCATTCCTGCCCACCACCCCCAGCCCTTTCCCTGCTTCACAACGTTTTGGTTTAGATCAACGGCCAACTGATGTCTATCAATAATTTTCTTCTCTGCTTTCATTTGATTTCTCTCTCTCTCTCTCTCTCTCTCTCTCTTTCGTTGTCTGACGGCGCTTTCTTTGCGGTACGTCAGTGTATGTGTTATTGCTCTCTTTCTCTCTTTTGCTCTTTTTCTTGTATTTTGGTTGAATTTGAATTGCAAATATCACAATACAGCCGAAAGTCAAAGCCAATCATCAATCAATCATTCCACTCGCTCATAAATCAATAAAACGCCGTTTGGCGCCTGTCACAATTTTACAGCAACAACAACAACAACAACACACACGTACACGCAAGAGAGACGGTGTCAATTTGAAGACAACAACTACAACAACAACAACAACAGCAAACTTTATAAACGAATTTCAAACGTAATCGGAGGTATTCCCTTTTTCGCACTTGGAAACACCTGTTCAACAATTTCTATTTTATTCTCTTTGATTTTCGTTCACGGCCAATTCCATTGAGCTTGTCAGACCGTGGGGCAGGTTGTGTGCAAAATGTGATTAGAAGCGACTGCTTAGCAACACAGATCACAGAATGAATTCCACTGTATGTGCTTAGCATGGCAAAACATGACTGAGCGCAAAGGAAATTTCATTTCCATGTGGTAATTGAATCATTTGAAAAATATTTGATTAGCTAGAAGATAATTTCAGATTACTTTGTTTATGCCTGACTAACAACAACAAATGATACGATAAGTAGAGTAGTACAATTATATTACAAGAACTGCAGAGATTTGATAACTTATCATGCTTTCAGTTCCACTGCATAGCGTACAAAGGGAAATTCGAATGTCCCAATCAAATTTCCCAACTCTTTCTCAGTCATCTTCTTCAATTGCTTCCATTAAAAAGTGCAGTTAGGATTTTTCAAGTAGGCGTCGACTGCGAAAAAACTAACAGTGCAGACATGCAACGCCCCCCAATTCATAGAGCGGCGGTCCGTTAAATGGCAGCACAAACAAAAAGCAGCAGCAACAGCAACAGAAATGCGAAAAGATGCTAAAAAATGTGCGCGTGAGAAACTAAAACTGAAAAAAAACACGCACACACACATCAACGAAAATCATTAACTTTTTTGCAGTGAAACTTGCCAATTTTTGCAAAATTGAAAAGTTAACAACAGAGCAAGCAAGTGCGAGCTAGTGTGAGCGAGAGCGATAGCGACAGCATGAATAAACATTTTATCACATGCTTGCTTAAAGAGCGAGAGAGTGCGCTTACGCTCTCTCTCTCTCTCTCTCTCAGAGAGTGAGAGGTAAATATGTGAAGCTTCTAAAAAAAACAAGTAAGAAAGCTCTAGTCGAGACTGCTCGACTACGAGATCCCCTGAACCCTTGGAGCAATAGATATTTCAATACTTTTTCGCGACTTTCAGCTTACACAAGAAACACGCACACACACACACACGTACGCAAACACAGGCATACATACACACACACGCATACAGACACACATACACACACACA